GTGAACGATATACTTTGGTCACGCGTACAGGGTTTCGGTGGACAGCTAATTAGCGTGGTAACGTTTAACACGTAGAAACGTTTAAAGATGCCATCATGTCACGGCGTACGACTACCAAGGTGAAAAACAGAAATTGATTCTCTATATAGAATGCGCTTGTTGTACTATTTCAAAAGTTGGTGACCTCTAGAGGCCTTTATTGTGAAAAACCTCCTGCCACGCAGACGAGCAGTAAGTTGGGCAGGTAAAATCAACCTAAGTATAATTCAATTCACGGCTGACGGTGAACCTTGTAACGCAGTGGTAGAGCGTTGGCTGCGCAAATGCCTTCCCTGCACTGTGGGTTCGACTCCCATCGAGACTGCGAATTTTTCACACACAACCTATGTCATAAATAATTTAAGACCATGTAATCCTTTTACGAGTGATCACACGGCACTTCAATAATTATTTTTCTAAAAGCCATTAGAATTTAATTTACTTTATTACGCCTATTCGATGCCACTAGGTACTGCATTGGAGCCCGCTTTGTCAGATCCCATTTCATGTGCGAAATCTGTTAAGTTTTAATCCTCGGCTTGTGCTTGAATATTATGAGTATCGTGGGCAGATTAAAATCGCCGGCAAAGACAAGAGTGACTGCAATGATCATTTATGGCGTAGTAGGCGCTAGCCCCAGCCGGTGTAACACCGGAGGCAGGAACCCGCGACCCACTGCTTAGGAGTCCAACGCTGTTGTGGCAATCCACGATCAGCACCACTGCCGCCGACTCATGTTCCCTTCGCCTGCCAAGCCTTGTGGTCTCGTGCATTACAAGCCCCCCCCCCTTGCCGCCCGCTCTTGTTCGACCCACTACTGCAGCCACCCACGTTGTTCGGCTCAGACTGCCAGTCGGTTCGCTGCTGGAGCCGCGCGAGTCTTGACACTAACCTCCGCAGAGAGAGAGAGAAATCTCGAAGGCAATCGGTGTGCGTAATCTCACTGATTGCCTGCAGATGAGGATCCGCCGCTTGTGTTTATATCGCAAACCACAAGCCCTAATCTGGCGATTTATAGATGCCTGCATCCCCCCTCTCCTGCTCTCCAGTTAGTTCTCTAGCTTTACTTAAAAAGGGCTGGTCACTTTTAAACGTATCCTCCGAATGCTCTCTTGCCGTACATCACCCTCTCAGCATTCTGCGCACACGTACCTAGCACGCTACCTCACGTGGGAAGAAATGGAAATTCAGAAGTTGAAAACCAACCTCTCTCCATAACAGATGTGGATATCGTGTAACTCTCTAAACTTTGAATATTTTATGACCTTTTACCTTACCTTACTCCTGGCTCTCTGTGAATGGAACTACTTACTGCTGAAAATTTTGGATATAAGCCTTCAAAATAAAGCATATTTCGCTTTCTCTCTCTCATTCCTCTTTCTTTCAAACAAAGTAGCTATCGTTTCGACCTTTTACTCTCTTCAGAACTGAGTATGCCCATCTGGATTTGGTGTAATGAGGTTGCGGCTCGGTTCTCCATGTCATTGTATTACTTGAGCTGAATTCTATCAGCATCCGCGGGATAAGTGAATGCTACTCATAAACTTCTAACAGGCAGGCATATTCTCGCTAATTTCCTTGGCCGAAAGCTATTTACAGCACAATCGCGAAGCTAATCGCCCCCATGCCATAGTCGGATTCGCAAAAAATAATGTATAGTATGGCGAAAGGCGCCTTACAGGTGATAAGTAAACTTAGGGAATTCTTACTTCACGTTTACGCCTTGGTCGGCTCCTTCATTTGAAGTGGTAGCATCTGCAATGCCTTACTGTGTTTAGTATACTGTAGCGAATACCCAAATGCACATTGTCTATGCGAGCGCGTAGAAGCCTATTTCAGACTTAAAACGACATCGATAGCCATCGATCCGGAATGTCTTCCGCTACCGCCGTACTGAAAGCAGCTGCTCACATGGGTCAAGTCAGGTAAGTCACATGCCCTGTTTTAGCATCGATACATTTATGACTATGAATCATCAGAATGTTGCATCATCTGGTGGAGAGGACGGCGGACGATTCCGTACTTCAAAAGCGACCCACATGCCGACCATCGACTGATTAGCGCACAAGCGTGCTCGATATGGGCGGAGGGGGGAGCAGTTAATCCTCATATGTGTGCAGTAGCGTAACAACTGCATTACATGTGTACTGCAACTCCCTCTGGGTGTCCAAAATACTCGTTTTTGATGCCGCTTCTGTCTCTGGCGAATAAAAGTCCTCGTCCCAGCTATCGCGTTTACTTCTTCTTAGTCTCTAGGACTCAGTTACTTATTTACGTTTCTGTGGAATCTGATTGACTGTAGAAGATCTGAATCCACATAAACTGAACGCTCTATCCCTACCAGCATCAGCATCAGCAGCAACAACTGAATGATTAAAGGCCAAATTATTCAAATACCTTTTATTTTTAAATCCCAATAACAATTTTAATAGAAGAAAGTGAAAAAAACAAGAGACTCAGTAGAAAAAACAGGATAGGAGGGACTGGAATACCAGTTACCAGGGACGGAATGGTGCGTAATGTCAGCCAGTTTTAGGTGTGTGCAGTTGAACCGACAATTCCAAGATAATTTGCTAAAGGGAATTACCCAAGCCACACCCAACACCAATTAGTCCGCAAACCAGTTCACTCCGGACGCATCATTCTAGTCGTGGTTTTGAATGCCTACAAAGAAGAGGAGATAATAATGTACAAGTCCTCGGTATGCTATGTCAAATGAAACATTTCCAAACTCTCTTGCTCATTAAGGAGAAAGAGAGTGCATTCAACATGATCGGTAAGTGATAGAAAATATACTAAGTTTATTTATGCCATGTGCAAAAAATATTAATTTTCCAACTTTGTGAGATAATTCCAGTGTATTTGCATACACTGCTGGAAACCTGATCAAGAAAGTTGCCTGCCATGAGGGCGGTAGAAGATGGGCCAGTTGTTTGCAAAACGACGTCTCTTTCAAATTATATACTCGCGAAAATGTCGTTTTTGATGCTCAACCTCTGAGTTTTTGAACGCATTAAAACGTCCGTTCATGAGGCATTGTAACCGTTACTTTATAAAGGCTACTTCCAAGGTTCATAACATGATTATCAGAAGCTAGTTTATGCAGGTAGTCAAAAAGAGGCCCGTTTAACGGTCAACATTCAAAAGTGACCGGCATGTTTGGCGATTATGCTGCACGTTAATCGGCGTAGCACACACCCTTAAATACTATGTACTACTCGGCACATCGCTGTCAGATTTTGTCAGAAATGTTATGTGATAGCACATTTGCCTATCGCTGTACGTAGGTCATTTTTTTCCATGGACAATTAGCAGCAGCCACGGAGAATAAGTCCTAATAGGTGGCGAAACATTGGTTAACTTATTCGGCTTACCAGTTCAATCAACTTAAAGTAAGTAGGTAACAACATGGGGGTGAAAGGTTGAAGTACCTGGTGGTAGGGTCTTTGTGGAGGCGAAAGCAACAGCGGGAACAGGTTTACCATTCTTCATAATGGGTTGTACGGTGAAGTTATAGTAGGTAGAAGGCTTCAAACCGGATAGGGTGAACTCCTTCTTGTCCGTCTTGTACCTCTCCTTATAGGTCTTACTGCTGACAGTCAACAGGTACTGGGCTCCGAGATTGCACGAGGGGCAGGGTGCCATCCAGGAGGCATGCACTGTGGAAGAGTTCAGAGCTTTGACGCTAAAT